TGGGCCCTGGTGCTGAATGGCGGATTCTCGGGAATTCTGCCCAACAATCTGCTGTCTGCGGCCTCTTCTTCCTCCCAGAGAGGGGGCGTGGCCAGATTAACCAGCCTGATAACTTCAATAGGTCAGCATAGAGCTGTCTGAAATCTGAGCCCCTATCGTAGATCAGTCAGCCCGACTGCTAACACCGTCCAATCTTCTGACACCGTCCAATCTTCTGACACCGTCCAATCTACTGACACCGTCCAATCTACTGACACCCTCCAATCTACTGACACCCTCCAATCTACTGACACCGTCCAATCTACTGACACCGTCCAATCTACTGACACCCTCCAATCTACTGACACCCTCCAATCTACTGACACCCTCCAATCTACTGACACCGTCCAATCTACTGACACTGTCCAATCTACCGATACTCTCCAATGCACTGACACCGTCCAATGTACTGACACCCGTCCAATGTACTGACACCGTCCAATCTACTGGCACCGTCCAATGTACTGACACCGTCCAATGTACTGACACTCTCCAATGTACTGACACCGTCCAATGTACTGACACCCGTCCAATGTACTGACACCGTCCAATCTACTGACACTGTCCAATCTACCGATACTCTCCAATGCACTGACACCGTCCAATGTACTGACACCGTCCAATGTACTGACACCCGTCCAATGTACCGACACCGTCCAATGCACTGACACCGTCCAATCTACTGACACTGTCCAATCTTCCGACACCGTCTAATGCACTGACACCGTCCAATCTACGGACACTCTCCAATGTACAGACACGGTCCAATGTACTGACACTCACCAATGTACCGACACCGTCCAATGTACCGACAACGTCCAATGTACCGACACCGTCCAATGTACCGACACCTTCTAATTCTGCCCAACAATCTGCTGTCTGCGGCCTCTTCTTCCTCCCAGAGAGGGGGCGTGGCCAGATTAACCAGCCTGATAACTTCAATAGGTCAGCATAGAGCTGTCTGAAATCTGAGCCCCTATCGTAGATCAGTCAGCCCGACTGCTAACACCGTCCAATCTTCTGACACCGTCCAATCTTCTGACACCGTCCAATCTACTGACACCCTCCAATCTACTGACACCCTCCAATCTACTGACACCGTCCAATCTACTGACACCGTCCAATCTACTGACACCCTCCAATCTACTGACACCCTCCAATCTACTGACACCCTCCAATCTACTGACACCCGTCCAATGTACAGACACCCGTCCAATGTACTGACACCGTCCAATGTACTGACACCCGGGACTCTCAGCCACAGGGGGGCTGGGCAGTTCCAGAAAGCACAAACGTTTACTGGGAAAGCGCTGGCTTTGCAGTTCCGGATTTGGCTTGGGTTCCTGGTACTGCTCAGGCCCCCCCTGTGGCTGAGAGTCCTGGATGACTATATTGCCAAAAATGACACCATGGCATTGCCACGCACTACCACAATATATACAGATCTTCAATGTCACTACAGCCAGTCCAATGACAGCCACGTGCGAGGTCTGAGCCCTTCTATGACCTCAGCCTCTCTGATTGGTTGATAGGAAGGTGAACCATACATGGCCAGGCCTCACCTCCAGACCATTGAGGGTGAAGGATCTTCGGTAAGTTCTCGGGGCAGCACAAGGCCCCAGGTCTTCAGCAGAAGTTATGGAGCTCGGGGCATGAAAACCCTGAGCGGCCGGAGGTGAAATCTTCATCGGGCGATTCTCCTCGATGTCTTTGATACGTAAAAATAAAACTTTATCCGCCATCTTGTCCTGAAGGAGAACATTGGCACCTCCAGTGATCATACACACGGCGGTATACCACGGGGACCAATCAAATTCTACCTTTCATCAAGTCAAAGCTGCGGCTGACCCGTGTTCACGGCAAGCTGCGTGTCGGCCTTTGCCAGCTACCGTCTGTTTCTCCAGCTGTCTGCAGAAGTCTACACGGATCTCCAACAGCAGAGGAGCCCATAATGTGTATAGTGGGGGGTCGGGGGAGGGGGGGCGGCAAATCTGACACTTATCCCCCCTGTGACCACAATCTACATTGTACTATATCACCGAGGTCAGTCAGTGTGGTGACTCCCAAACCAAACATTCGCAGGTAGTTCTCAGGCTTTGTACATATGTGCAGGTCACAGATTTATTGCAATTGTTTTTTTGTGCTTAAAGGGAAAATCCATCCAAAAATTACTTTTCAATTTTGTGAGGATGCTACGAAGCTGGACCAAATGCTGACTTCTCTCAAGGACTCCAGTGGAGAAAACTATCCATATGTCACCACCATTAAGAGGAGAAACCTCACCATTGTGGGTGGGGCAGAGACACAAACTACTGGAGGGAATCTCACCATTGTGGGAGGGGCAGAGACACAAACTACTGGGGGGAAATCTCACCATTGTGGGAGGGGCAGAGACACAAACTACTGGAGGAAATCTCACCATTGTGGGAGGGGCAGAGACACAAACTACTGGAGGAAATCTCACCATTGTGGGAGGGGCAAAGACACAGGCTACTGGAGGGAAATCTCACCATTGTGGGAGGGGAAGAGACACAAACTACTGGGAGGAAATCTCACCATTGTGGGAGGGGCAGAGACACCAACTACTGGGAGGAAATCTCACCATTGTGGGAGGGGCAGAGACACAAACTTTTGAAGGAACTGTCACCATTGTGGGAGGGGCAGAGACACAAACTACTGGGAGGAAATCTCACCATTGTGGGAGGGGCAGAGACACAAACTACTGGAGGAAATCTCTACACTGGAGTCTGATATATGAAAAGCTGGCAGGAGGTTCAGCCCGTCAGTGTCCACATAAAACTGAACTTCTTGCATGGAGTTCACCTTACAGCCCAGTAGCAGTCCTCTTGCATAAGCAGCGTATGAAGGCAGCAACCTGCTGACGACCGACCTTTTCGCTCCGTCTCCATGCCGGCCACAGTCAGAGGCTTACATAAGCAGATGCGACAGACTGTCTGTATTCCGTATAGAGAAAACAATGGCGGCCCGGATCCGAAGTCCTCTGTGCCAGATTCTCCCCTTTTCATTTATTTTTCTCTCTGTACAAGGGATTATGAAACCATGCTTCATTAAGGCAAAACACAGTGCTTGTGATCTTGTTTTTCCTCCTCCCTGTGTACACAGCGTTGTTCTTCGTTAAATGTTGCCGTAATTAAGCTCCTGGCATGCCGCTTGAGCGTCAGCGGGTCCGGAGAATTCCTCGCCAGTAATAATAATATGAATATGCATCAGCTTGAGAACCGCTAAAGAAAGGCAAAAAAAAAATAATATCTTTGCATCAAACACTTGTGTCTGTGTGGAGTCTTGCGCTGTGCGGTCACCTCCCG